GAAAATGAGGTGTTGTTCCTCCAGGTTGCATTGGGCTTCACTGGAACACTGTAGCAAGCCAGAGACAGAGATGTTGGCCAGAGAGCAGGATGGTGCATTGAAGTGGCAGGCAACAGGTAGTTCAGGGTCTTTTTTGCGAGCAGAACGTAGATGTTCTATGAAGCGGCCCCCAGTCTACGCTTCATTTTCCCAATGTAGAGGAGACCACATCTTGAGCAGCGAATGCAGTAGACTAGATTCTGGGAAGTGCAGGTGAAGTGTTGCTTCACCTGGAAGGTATGTTTGGGCCCTTGGATACTGGGGAGGGAGGAGGTAAATGGGCAGGTGTTGCACCTTCGTCGGTTACAGGGGAAGGTGCCGTAGGGCTGTGGGGAGGTGTTGGGGGTGAAGGAAGTGTGGACCAGGGTGTCCCGGAGGGAATGGTCCCTGACAAGGGAGGGGAGGGGAATATGTGTCTGGTGGTGGCATCTTGCTGGAGGTGGTGGAAATGGCGTCTGATGATCTTCTGGATGTGGATGTTGGTGGGATGGTAGGAGAGGATAAGGGGAACCCTATCGCTGTTGCAGGAGGGAAGAGAAGGGGTGAGGGTGGAGGTGCGGGAAATGGGTCAGACCCGGTTGAGGGCCCTTTCGACAACAAATCCTCGGTTGAGGAAGAAGGTGAACTTTTTGGAGGCTCCCTTGTCGAAGTTGGCCTCATTTGAACATATGTGACAACACTTTAGTCTGTCTATCCCTTTCATATCTCTCTCTCTCTCTGGGTTCAGTTTGTCCCAACCCTCATCTTCAGCATAAACACCACATTTTTCCTGAGCTGCTATCAATTCCGATAAAGTGTCACCGGACTCGAAATATTAACTCTACTTTCTCTCCACAGATGCTGCCAGACCTGCTCAGTTTCTCCGGTAGTTTCTGTTGTTTCAGATCTCCTGAACATTAAGCTGGGTGACTGGATGACTAGTCCAGTATCATTACAACTCACCTTAGAATCACTCTCCTTACAACAGCCAGATCCAAGAACACATGCCCATTTCTAATTGACAGAGTCCATCTCTGAACTAAGCCAGAATAATGAAGCTGGGCTTGTACGCTCACCTCATTAGTTCCTCTTTGCTGAACTCAGCATCTCTGTCCTTTTCTCTGTGATCCTCTTTCTGCTCTTTCTCAAGCTCTTTGTCTTTATCTGCTCTGTGTTCCTGAAGGTTTCTGCTCATTTGCTGCTGCTGGAAATGAGAAGATATTGAAATGTCAAACGTGGGCATTTAGGGATTTTCCACAAACTGAACATGTTCATGTCACAGAGTGAGGCAGAGGCAGAGTCAAAGGCCACTCCCAGGAGCTCTCTCGTTCCAGTTACTGATTGAGTCAAAGGCTCTCAGTGTTTTCACCAGATGATTATGATTTCACCTCAAGAACACAATTCAACCCTGCATTTACCAAATGGCCATTTTCATAAACAGATCAAATGACACTCTCCCTCCCTCTCTCCCAGAAAAAACACAGGAAAATCTTGGTCTGATTGGGGGGTTATGGTCAGTGATGACTAAATCCCTGACCTGAGCTGTGAGAACCTACTGGATCACCCATGGTTTTCAGGAGAGTCAGTATCTCAGCCAATCACAGAACGTCTGGGAGTCCCAAAAGGCCATATTTCCACAGAGGTGATAGCCTAGTGGTATTATCACTGGACTGTTAATCCAGAGACCCAGATAACTTTCTGGGGACCTGGGTTCAAATCCCACCACGGCAGATGGTGGAATTTGAATTCAATAAAATGTCTGGAATTAAGAATCTAATGATGACCGTGAATCCATTGTCGGGGAAAAACCCATCTGGTTCACTAATGTCCTTTAGGGAAGGAAACTGTCATCCTTACCTGATCTAGCCTACATGTGACTCCAGACCCACAGCAATGTGGTTGACTCTGAACTGCCCTCTGGGCAATTAGGGATGGACAATAAATGCTGGCCTGGCCAGTGACGCCCTCATTCCGTGAATGAATAATAAAAAAACATTTGTTTTGAAATGAGAGCTGGGAATTTTGAAGTGGACAGGTTTCGATTCCAAAGAGATGAACGGATTTGAATACAATAAAACTACATTCACATTCATCCAATGACTTCCAATTGCGAATAATTCAATTTATATCGATGACACAAGCAACGTATCCAAATTACAACAAACCGGTCCTTGCTCGCTGAGCCGGTGTGTTTGGTTGCAGACGTTTTGTCACCCTGCTAGATAACACTGTCAGTGCACCTCCTGTGAAGTGCTGGTGTTCTGTCCCACTTGTTATTTATATGCCTCCATTTGCTGGGGTGGTTGGTATCACTTCCAGTTCTGTTTCTTAGTGCTTTGTATATTGGGTCCAGTTCACTGCATTTGTTGATGGAGTTGATGTGTTGTTCCAGTCGAATTTGTGTCCTTCTTTGTCCATGCGTATTGAGACCAGAGAGAATTAGTCTTGTTTCTTGGTGGGCCAACACATCCATAATAGCACAAGCCCAAACAGAGACGTGCCTGGGAATTCTTGGAGGCCTGGCATTCCAACTGGAACTCCAAACACATTGAGAACTGGACCCCGAGTACAAACCACTGAGAAACAGAACTGGAAGTGATACCAACCACCCCAGCAAACGGAGGCATATAAATAACAAGCGGGACAGAACACTGACACTTCACCAGAGACGCACTGACAGTGTTACCTCGCAGGGTGACAAAACATCTGCAACCAAACACACCGGCTCAGCGAGCAAGTCTACAACTTCATCCACAACCCGAGCTACAAATATTCTCGAAAATTTTAAACCAGTTCTGAACATGGCTATTGAACTCAAAATGTCTTCCTCCATAGATGCTGTCAGAACTGTTCACTTCCTCCAGAACTTTGTGTCTGCCACAATACGGGGCCTGCAATGGTGCGGGACCGTGCGGGGCCTGTGACAGTGTGGGGCTGGGGATGGTGTGGGGCCTGCGACGGTGCGGGGCCTGTGACAGTGTGGGGCTGGGGACGGTGCAGGGCCTGTGACGGTGTGGGGCTGGGGACGGTGCGGGGCCTGTGACAGTGTGGGGCTGGGGATGGTGTGGGGCCTGCAGTTTGTCTGAACAAAAACCTGGAGTGTTTGGGTGTTTCTCAATGCGCCTGCTACATGTTTGAATTTCTCTGTACTTTCCAAATTAAATTTTCTTCATTTAAAACACTCATTTGAAAAACCAGAAGTTTCTCAAATAAGCATTTTGTTTTGTAAAGTCCCTGATATCCGAAAACAAGAGCTGACTGAAAGATACACTATCGTTGGGTCTTGTGGATCCAGGAGTGTTTTGACAGGAATCTACTTCACCGTAACCAACACCAGCATGGAAACATTCCAACCTTCACATTCCTCCTGGGAACATCGGAAACCGGAGAGGGTGAGCGTGTGGGGAGGGAGGGGTGAGGAAGGGCCAGTGAGTGCATTGGTCGGGGGGAGGGCCAGTGA